TAATAATAATAATAATAATAATAATAATAATAATAATAATAATAATACTGTACTGATTTGTATTTTGGTCATGCAAGTGAATGGAACAACTGTGCAACAACGGGGATTAAGCCTAAAGTAAAAAAAAAACCCTCTGATTTACAATTTGGCCCAGTCCCATCAGAACTATGGGCCACCCATCGCTTCTCAAATAAAGGAACAGATAGCATCCTCCATTAACTCTCAGCCCATCACAAATATATGCCCTGCCTATGTTTTGAAGCTCTGCTTCAAAGATACTATTTCTATTCCGAGCAATCTCAAGCATTTCCAAGTGGTTGGTCTATCACATTTTATTCCAATCTAACGTACCCCCCAGCACTATTTAGTACAGCATCTTGCATGCTCCCTCCGCCCCAGCACCAAGTTTCTGCCTCTATGATTATTTCATCCTTCCACTTTCTTCCTGTTCTTCTTTCAGTAGACTCATTGATGGATCATAAAGAAAACGGAATCCAAGAAAGTATTCTGGCTACCACAAGAATCCCATTTTTGCACACTACCTTCGTTCTATCCTTACATTTTCAGGTGACCATAATTTGCATAGGGTGATTGAACCATACTCTTACTTCTTTCTCCTTTTGTGTCTATTGTACTGCAAAGGCTCCCTTCTCCACACACCTCTTTTTAAAAGGCTGCTGTGTAGACATGTTGGAATACAGATACACAATTTTAGTGAATAGCAATAGCACTTAGACTTATATACCATTTTACAGCTCTCTGTGAATTGTTTTATGGAGTCAGTATATTGCTCCCAACAATCTGGGTCCTCATTTTACCAACCTCAGAAGGACAGAAGGCTGAGAATGAAGTTTCTTTGTTTCCATGAATCTCAATCTTTAATATTGCAAAATTAATACTTACCCTGTACGGACAAAGAACAAAAATCATCTAGTATAGCTAGTCCTCAATGTACGACTACAACTGAGCCCAAAATTTCTGTTGCAAGGCGGTTGTTGTGAGTTTTGCCCCATTTTACAACCTTTTTTGCCACAGCTGTTAAGTTGCAGATACTAAGTGAATCATATAATCGTTAATTGAATCTGGCTTCCCCCATTGGCTTTGT